GGTTTGAAGAGGGCGACGGAGGAGAAATCTCATTGTAAGGAGGCTAAGTACAGGAGTGTGGAGTTGCTTAGGAGAGGAGTCGTGGTTAAAAGATACCGCCGTGCCTTGGGATAAACCGCGACGTCGAGAACATGACGAGGGTAGCCTCAGTTTCGTGAACAAATCGATCGCTCCATCAAGGTAATGGGGGTCACAGATGCGGAGGAAACTGTGAGGTGGCAACACCTCTCTTACATGGCACGCGGATGGTCATGAGAAGAAGTTTCTCGATACTGGACTTACCCTCGTCAATATATACACTATATTTTAATATATGAAAATGACATATCGCCTTGAAAAGCAAAGCGCAAGTGACACGTGTGTTAGCCGAACTGCGGTGATAAAGGAAGGTATCAACAGATAAGGGGGGCACTACCAAAAGCCTCTAACCCATTGCCGCCGGGGAAAATGAACAAAAAATGGGGAAAATGCTGTGCCTATTTTCTATACTTTTGTTAAATGTCTGCCCAGTAAGATGGCTCTGTTAGCGCTGAATTTGAAACACGTATTTTTCACTAGCGCCATGAAATCGATGGTGTTATTTTTATCATAAACATTGTAATTTTTATAATGTTTTTTTAACATTAGTAAACAGCAAAATAAATAAACCGTAAAAATATTTCGTAAATCAAAGAAAAGGGTGAAACGGGCGAGCAGGCGGTGTACTCGTAAACTGGCTCATTGGTAATTTAGTACAAGTGTAGCTCATCTATGTGTGAAAACAATCTAACAAGGAATCTCACTGGCCATGGCAAGGCATGGCCCGGCGGGAATGGGTTATAGCGAATGATAGGCCTATGTCCTGCAGTGGAATGAATGGCTATATATATATATATATATATATGCTGCTATTTCAAGCATGTATAAGAAACCACGTTTGCCCTATTACTACTCTTGTTCACTAATGTTTAAGGTCAATTAATAATCCTTACTAATATATATATGTGTGTAGTGTTTGTATGTATGTATATAACTGTATATAGATGTGTATATATTATACATATATGTGTGCGTGTGTGCATGTGTGTATATTTGCTGTATATTATATATATATTGCGTATACACATATGTTACAGTTCAAAGTGTGAAATGGCTGTTTTATTCTGTCACTTCATGAAACAGTTATAAATATTCTATTACATGGAAATGGCTGAAATCGCCGTAATCATTATTACACAACTTGTCTGATGTGTTTCCGTAAATTGTGTAATAACCCATTCTCCATTAATGTTCTGTATTTTGTTAACGAAGAGTAGGTACGGAGCAGCCCAATCACTCAGTGGAAGCAACAGTGGCTTTTGGGTATCCGATCCCAACAAGATGAGAGCCGAGAATCAAAGAGCTGCCATATAATCTCATATTTCACCATCAAACATCTATAATCTATCTGTCATATCAATCTCTATTCATCTATCTATCTACATAAAATTATCTATATGTGTGTGTGTGTGTGTATGTGTTGTGTGTGTGTGTGTGGCGTGTCGTGTGTGCGTGTGCATGCGTGCGATGATAGTGAACCTTGACAGAAAAAGAGAGGAGGGAAAATATGGAAACAGGTAAAACTGAGAATAATTAACAAAAGAAAATTAGAATCGTGTTTGGAAATGGTTGCATGACAAGGCGCCTAAGAAACAGTTTGAGGCAGATTTTAGAGGACGAGTTACTAAAAAATATGAGCAGTTCAAAAGTACTTGATGGCCAAAGAATATCTATTATAACACCATTGAAGAACTAAGACTGCAGCCAGAAACCCATCCTCCAATGGATGGGCTCTGGGTGATGGATACTACCTTTTCCAGAAGCTAAGTTTCTTATTAAAATTCAAAAAATTTCTAATTTAAAAGGCATTGGATACACAAGGGAAACAGCAGAAAATCAGATATAGCGATATATTACAATGAAAGTGATGAACAATTTTTTTCCATGTGCAAATACAGTCCGATAATTAAACAGAAGTAAAAAGCCTTGTATATTATTACTACACATTTAAAAGAAGAAACATGGAGAGGGGGTAATTTTGGACCAAAACTACATTATATATCTCATGTTATTCATGAATAGTTCATGTAGTTGGTTCAACCGAAAATGATTTGATTCTTCAGCTTATAGGATTAAATTGATATCGCTTACTAAAGTCTATGTAATGGGATATTTGGTAAGGTTAACTTTTTCACTACTGCATTTATTTGCATTTTTTGCTCCTGTCATACGCAAAGTGACAGTGGTTCTGAAATTTAAGCTAAATTCATCTCAGAGTTGAAAGAACTTTGGCCTCATACTCAATCATGGTCCATGGCAAAGACCATCACAAAGCCGGACAAGGACCTGTTGCATGCATGCGACAGAGACAAGACACAGTGGCAGCATTAGGCTCCCACCTCTCAGCTACACCTGCTCAAGAATTACCCGATCCCCACCAGCATCGCAGCACCAGTTTCCATGTCTCAGCCTAAACCTGCTCACTACTTCCGCCCCCATCCATCTGCAGACCAGCACCCACTCTCAGACATCTTCAGGTTCCTCACGAGGAAAAGTAAGAGGAGGTAACACAAAAGAGAGGGAGGAGAGCAACGGGTAATACGAGGCAAGGTGAGGAAGACGAAACGGAAGGCGAGGAAAGTCAGGGTAGGGGTCGGATAAATAGGGGGCCGGCGGAGGTGGGGGAAAGCGAGGAGACTCGGCAGGAGAAAAGCCGCTGTTCAAGTTGAAATTAAGGCTGAAACTTTATTTAAACCCATTGACGAACGGGCATGGCAAGTAACGTCCATGCCATGCCCACTGAGAGTTTACTTGTTTAATTGTTTTTACAAATACATGGGCTACACTTGTACTAATTCACCAATGAGCCAGTATGAGTACTGCCTATCTCGCCAGTTCACCCTTTTCATTGATTTACGAAAATTATGTTTACGTTTATCTATTGTGTTTATAACAATATCAGTCAATCATATGTTTATAATAAAAATATCATCATCGATTTTCTTTCTTTGTAGGATTTCTTGGCACTATCAACGAGCGGCATTGTGCCAAGAATAGGATCCATTGCTAATAATGGATTCCTATAATTCTATCAATCTATATGAGGTCATAAAGTTTTGTCTAGGAAAGTGATTATTTTACTTATTTTTCATGTCTGATAACAGATTTTGATGATGTTGTGAATGGTATGTTTTGGTTTCTTAAGTAATTTTTTAAGTTTTGTATATTGCGAGATATTTATGGAAATTTATGAGGACATGTGTTAATTGTAAAGTGGTTTGTGCAGGGGGGGGGGGGCCTTCTGGACGGAAATTTTCTTGTCAATGTAAGGTGTGAGGTGTGTTATTCTTGTCGGCGTTTGTTCTTAGGCGTGCCAACATCACCTATTCTCTTATGGATCTTCTGTGGCGCCTGTGTCCCACGTTCTATTATTGTTTTGTTTTTTCTGGGTTATGTCTAGTGTCCCACTCACTTGCCACAGAGATGTATTTTTTACTTTTATAAGAGGACCTAAAAAAAACACTGAGGTCCTGTATGTATATCCAGATCGCCAGTTGACTTGGCTAATTTGTCAGCCTTCCTGTTCATTGCCATGGATACAGAGTGGCCGGGTACCCTTATGATTTGTTGACACTATTGAACTTACAATGAATATTAACCAGCAGTTCATTTTTTCGTGGTTTCTGATGATTTAATAGCTTTATGTGAACTAATGAATCTGAAAAAAATAACTATTCTATCGTGGGTAGTGATAGGCAAAAGCTTTATTCATCCTTTTATTAAATCATTTAAAATCTTTATCCAATGGCAAAAAGTCAGCAAGAAAGATGATGTATCAGAGGGGAGGTATTCCTTATCCACCTCAAGACGCTCGATCGAGTGCATTTTAGGGCTCCAACACACACACATGGCAAAACAAGCGTTTACAACATCATACAAACTTACCCTGTTTTCGATGCCGAGACCTACACGATTGACCCATAATCTACTTTAGAACCTAACCAGGGCTTTATATATCATTAGTATAAGACTTTCTATAGCTTCCCCAATATTACCCAGAAATGCACCTTTAATACAGTTTAGTGCTCTTTGACGTATTCCTTAACTGGACCAATGTGGTCTTTCCAAGAGATGGACCAAGAAATTAGCAGAATTTGAATAGGTATTGGTGAATTGTCTAGAGTTAGCCTGATGCTCGGTTTCCTCCTAAGTGAAAAAAATACCCAATACTCTTTTCTTGTGGAAAAAAAAAATTTTTTAAACCCACTGGAGGCCCCAGTTATGAATATTATCCAGTGCTAGTGGATGCGATTTGCTGGAATGCCATAATGCGCAATCATTAGCGTACAGAGAGTATTTAAGATTCCGAGGGGAACTTAGT